GCACGCGGCTATTTGAGGTGAGTCGTCTGGAGAGGTAGTCCACAACGCCCTTCAGAATAAAACTACACCGTGTCGAGCGCACAACAACCGCCGACCCCACCCATGGCCGCGCTGTTCACTGTGAGAAAAATCTCAAGAGTTAGCGCAATAAAAGAGAGACAGAAAGTGTGTGTGTGAGGGGGAGGGGGGGGGGTCCAACTGGGAAAGTAGGAAGGGGGAGGATGCGCGCTGCGCGTGGAATAGAGGATCGTAGGAAATTGTTTGTTGAAATCGGCAAACAGCATCCCAGCGTGGAGCCTACTACCACCCGACCCGCGTCGCGTCCCCGGGGCGCGCGGGGCGGGGCGCTTTCGGGTGACCGTGCACAACAAGCTTGTTGTGACACCGCACGTCTGTCTGGGGACGATAAACAGAGTCATGCCTAGTACGATGTTTCTGATCGGAGCACTCTTAAAAAAATTGTTCGTAAATTGCCGAGGCATTACAGGTAGCTCTATTTATTTACAAAGTATTCTTGGCTTTTGCTTATTCGTAAAGATTTTATTTGTGAATTTACAAAAACGTCTTGTAACTTTACAAACTTTTTCTGTTGTTTCCTCGTACTTATACTCTTTTTAGCATTAACTTTCATAAAACTCGATAAAACCTTGTTCATCCGTTCTTTCAAGGCAAGACTAATGTGAATTCTTTTGTTTTGAATTCACAATAGTTTTTTAAAGTGGGCGATGCAGAAACAGTTGATTGTAAGTAGAAGACAATTGAAATGGACGATGCTGTCCCATTTATCGAGGGCCATACGTCGTCACTTTCCTCATCAGAATGGCACAGCAGCTCCCCTCCCGCCCCAATCGTCGCGCTCGCCAGTGCAATGGCCCCGGCAGCTCGGCACTTCAGGGATTGCAGCCTCGATCGCGGAGCCCGCCCACGCCACTCCACGCCCCACCACGCGCTGCACTGCTCTCTCTATCCACGCCTTAATTGGCAAAGTGAGCTGATTGTATTCCCAGCAATAAATTGCGAGCCTTTGGAAAGCCGAGCCGGCACTACTCCCCTTCCGCCTCCCCCTCCTGCAGAACCACTCTGCTGCTCGGCAACTCTGTACTACAGGACCGATAATTCACGATAAATCGACGTATCTTCGCCCAACTTCTGTGTGTGCTGAAATAATGAAATCGGATCTAACCCACCCCGACCAACCCCGCACTCCCTCTGCTCCACCAACGTAGACTGCGCGGGCCCACGTTCAAATACCCAGCATGTTATGTTCTTTTACCAGTAATATTTCTTTTTTACCTTTCCCTTTTACTACCCCCTAAAAAAATCTCACGGGCGCACAGAAAAAGAGCGAGACAGGTCTCTAAACTTCTCATAAATTTGAACGGCCCCGCGCTGGCTGCCTCTGTCGCACCCCCTGACAAGGGTCGGCGTGAGAGCGACAGAGAGAGTCATCGCGAAAGCATCGTCCTGTTGTGTCCTCGCCTTTTCATGTCTGACCGTGCAGCTCAACGCCATTGTCTAAACCACGCCTTTCTTCCTCTCTCACATACACACAGAAAGAAAAATAATAAAAAAAATCAGAGCTTCGGCCTATTGTTTGGCTCAACTCGAATTATTAAATCCACATCGCGCTTGGTGGGGGAGAACGGGGTGGGAGGGGGTGGGGGGAGGGTGTGCGAGGCAGAGGCGCCATCGGTACGTTCGCCTCAACTTTTGTCTGACGGACGCTTCAGCGATAACTGATGACGGACGCACACAATTTTGTGTCTGGGCGATTAAAAAATGGCACATAACGAGACTACAAAACAAATCTGAAAGCGTTACCCTGGCAATGGTTAGACTAATTGTCTTACTATTAGCAGCGAGGAATAAATGATTTATTCAAAACATAAAACTGACGAGAATAAACTTAAGGTGACACAGGACTGAAACTGACAAAAAACAGCTATTTAGAGTTTAAAATCTAGATGCGAATTAAATCGAAAAATCGCTCTCCAAAGCAATTTAAGTTAGTTCATGGCGGCTCTTTTAAGGTATAGTATTCCTATAGTTAAACGTGACTGTGTGCGCAAGAAGGTTTTTAAAATTTCATAACTTTAAAATTCTTTCAGTCCTGTCACCTCAAACAGAGGGGGCATTTACCACCAGAAAACTAGAATACTCGCACAGAGTACTCGGTTTTTCACCAATTTACGTGTATTACATCGGTACAGCACGCTGATAACAGTACCATACTTAAGACGTTGCAAGGAGTAAGATTTGCTGCTTACCTGTAGAGTGGCTCGCCGTCCACGGCCTCGAACCAGAGCACCATGTGCACGTTGTCGTCCTTGGTGGGTGGCTCGATGTCGCACGGCAGGGACACCTTGCGGCCAACCACACCCTCCACGTGCTCCACGGGGACTGCAACAGACAGCACGGGCGGGCTCAGCACACGAACACACACACATCCTAGACGTGGTTGAATACTCGCTGAGAACACCTTTCAAAAGGACCTGATCTGTCTGATACGGTTTCACAGAACTTGCTGCGATCTGCTTAGGCTGAAATCACACTGCGTAGCTGAGAAAGAAAATATAAGCGTTTCACCGACTACCAGTGCTACGGTATCGCGATGAGGGGGCTGAGCAAGAGCGAGCTTAGTACAGGTGGCAGAAGACTACCGTCACACACTGCGTCTTGGACGGGGTGGAAGGGGTGGGAGAGAAGAATCGTACAACAGGTTAATGCCACTGAGGATACACACACACCAACGCGAGTACACTCAACCACAGACTCACCCCCTGTCCATCAAGGCATCTCCCGCACATCCACTGATCTCCTGCCCACCCTCGCCACCGACACAGTAAAGCGACGCGGCGGTGGTGTGGTCTAGTTGGGGGACTCGCACTCAATGGGCCGTAACGCTTGCGGGAGCCCAGCGCCCAGCGCCACCCCCGGCGGGTGCGGTACGGTGTACGGTACGGTGTACGGTACGGTGTACGGTACGGTACGGGTATCGTTGGCACCGTCCAGACAAGTGCCGTGGTTACCACACGGCGAGATGAGAAGGAGTAGGGGATAAAGTCCAGCGGGGCGTGCGGCGATAGAATGAAGCAGGGCGTGAACGTGTCAGAGAGGACGGAGAGGGAGAGAGAGAGAGAACGAAAGAGAGGTGTAACGCGGACGGTGGAAAAAGTAAGGTGCTGGTCGCAGCGAGCGATCGACACCGTTAGCGGAAAGACTAGAGGTGCGCCCTGGTCCAGTGGAGGGTAGCGGAAGAAGAGCGCGACGGTGCACAGGGGCGTAGGCACGGCCCACGACGGTCGTGCTGAGATGGACCGAGTACGGGACCGGGAGACGCCAAAATCGCGTCCAAACGGCCCAACTTGGTCCGGGCGGGGCCGGCAGTGGACCCTCAGGCCTACGCGGGGCGGTGGGGCCCGACCCATAATGATCAAGTTAAGGGGGACCGGGCTTTATGGTCTTAATTTTAGTGGTAGTTAAAAACACTTTAGGGGCGCGAGTGAGCGCGAACGGGGCGAGAGCGACGCTGCGTGGCGGGGAGGGGCGCGAAGAGCCACTTAGACGAGACGCTGTCCGTCCAGCCAGACCAGAGGTGCGGGGTAAGGATTACAGTCTACGCACGCACGCACGCGGCTATTTGAGGTGAGTCGTCTGGAGAGGTAGTCCACAACGCCCTTCAGAATAAAACTACACCGTGTCGAGCGCACAACAACCGCCGACGCCATACATGGCACCGCTGTTCACTGTGAGAAAAATCTCAGCAAGATTGCAACATGTTTTGTATTTATGGGATTTACAGAACGTGTTGTACATTTACAACAACCCATTCACAGTCATCTAAAAATTACAAGTTGATAATAAGCACGAAGTGCTTGTAATTTAACAAATTTAAGTTGTAATAGTTACAATACATGTTATGAAAAAATTTCCTTACAATAAGAATTTCTCATAGTTTTCACTCGTGGACGAAACTTTCCTGTGCGCATCCTCGCACACCGGCATCTGCTGCTGCCCGCGCGCGGGTCATAACGTCATATTACGCGCATCAAGGACACATATTTACAGCGCGGCGCAATAACAGGCGGACGCGCACCGTAAAGAGGCGTCGTCGACACACTTGAGAGCCAATATAGCGCGGCGGCCGGGCTCATACGCCCGGCCCGAATGACCGTCTGTGGACTTAGGGCGCCCTGCTGATAGGCCGCTTCGCGCGCCGGGCCAGGTGACGCACACGGAGCAGGGCCGCAGGAGGCTTCAGAGCTCTGCGTACAGCGGAGGATTACGGACGTGCCCTACAGCCTGCTGCACGCAACTGCGGACCATACTCCGTGTGCACAGCTCCACCACACCAGCATAGCGGAAAAAGTGTTGCTACGCTCTCATTGCCGACAGTGTGTTTTTAAGGCAAAGTCTGCTCCCTCTCCCTAATCTATATATTTCACTAACCATGGGCGAATGGTAAAGTTGTATTTAACACGGAGGGGAGCAAGTGTGGAAATTTTCTTGTCCTTCTTCAAAATGGGCCATGCGTTTGACCATAGTCAACGCTGCACCGCCTCGGAAAACCCAAAACAAAAAAAGGAAGAACGTAGGAGTTTGAAGTTTGAGCTGCGATATAAATTCGATACAACTCAGAGTATCACGCTGCAACCGCGTTTTGGCGCAAAAGAGGGAACTAGGAAATTAAATAAATGGCCATGCATGGTGAGCGTCGATGCAACGGATGAAAGGGGATGATGAGAGTATTGCACCTTTTTTTTTTTATCGCATTTTTGTGTAGCGTGGCGAATCGGCGGGGCGTGGCGGCTGATCATTCAATCAATTGGCACCCCCGACCCCGCCGCATCTCGCCGAGCGCGGCCCCTTGCTGCCGGCAGCGAGCAGGCCCCCGCTTCCTGGACGGATTACACGAGTGTTTGCAGAGCACCTCCACCTCCTCACTGCGCCTCGGTCGCATCAATCACACAGGACGATGGCAGCTGTTTAGGGGCGAGCGGGCGGAGAAGGGGGCGGCGGCGGCGCCAAGTGATAACCTCTCCGGCGAAAGAAACGCGAGGATCGGGGAGGAAATCGCATCGAGTGGGAGAAGGAGGTGGAGGGAGGGAGTAAAGCCGAGTAAACCGGCCATTTTCACGATGACTCTTACACCTATGGTTAGTAGTACATTACACCAAAGGACATTTTTGACCTTGGTTTAAGGTTTTTCCGTTTACAGCGGCACTATTAAAAAAAAATTTTTCGTAAATTACCGAGGAATTACAGGTAGCTCTATTTACATTTACAAAGTATTTACACTGTTTCAGCGGGTTTTCCATGGATTCTTTTCGAGAGAAGTCGGCGTTTTAACCCCCTCCCCCTTTTCTCTCTCACCAACTTCGTGCTATGGCCTGAGGAGGGTTGATCGTAGTGTAGAACCGAGGTAGCCGACCTAGCCTCGCGCCGAGCGCCGGAGCGGCTGGGGGTAGCGGCCCTAGCCTCTCACACCACCCCCAAGCACAAAAGGCGCGATATTCCGAATGCAGATGTCATTGTTCGCGGCACACTCTGTGGTCCCGCGAGCGCCTGGAGATACGGCGGCCACGATACCGGCACCGGAGTAGCCAGGACCGTGAAAGAGCGAAGAGGGAGAAGGAAAACTCCACCGAAAGCATCGCCCCCTCTCTCTCTCTATCTTAGCTACGCCGCTGCCTCGCTGGCCCGGGCCGAGCGCTCGGCCCACAGCTCAGGTAACGGCGAGTGGCGGAGCGTGGCGCATTGTACACTTGCTGTGGGGCCTAATCTCAATCAGATACTCTCCACTCTCAAATTAGACCCTAGCAGGGAATAAAAAAACACACTACACCTCAGAAAAATCCTGGTGGCGTTATTTACGTTTCTTCGGTTGTAAATAACCCCATGAAACGAGTGGTTCCTTTCCCCAAAAGAACACATACAGTACTGCCCACACACACGCGCGCGCGAAAAAAAGGAACACGACGGTAGTAGCAGTTGTTATTTACCGCTTGAGAGGGAGAGGTGGAAATGTTTGAAACGGACTCAATTTCCAACGTTTTTGGCTTTTCGCGGCAGAGTTTGCGAAGCAGACAGGGCGCCTTCACTCTCCTGCCTTCTCAGAATCAGACGTGTTGACTCGCTGCATTATGCTTTGATACTCTCTCCACTCGGCTGCCCCCTATTCAACCCCCTACCGCGTCTGCCTGCTGTACCTGCCGCCCCCGGATCACTCTTGGGAGTTTAGCGGCGGGAGGGACGGGCGGAGAAGAAGGTGACCTCATTACTCTCCTGTGCGGTGTGTGTCTGGAGAGCAAGAGCGAGAGAGCGAGAGCGAGAGAGCGAGAGCGAGAGAGAGAGAGAGAGAGAGAGCAAATTGAGATACGAATAAAACTTGAAGCGGTGAAATAAAATGTATGCGAAATGGCAGAATGAATTCATCTTTTGCCCCACCCGCACGCACACTTCTTGTAAAAGCCATTAAGATTTCGCATCGCTGAAGCAACCGCACCCCCTCACAGTTTAAGGCGAGAGAGGGGGGGGGGGGTGGATAGCAGATTCACGAAGGACTCTTTAAACGCGTGACGCAAAGGGTCGTTCGCCGGTCAGTCGGTCGGCGGCCGCCGCCTGATCCTAATGAGGGGCAGCTAGCTCCCGGGCGGCGCCCTTGCCGCTGCGGCGCCCTTGCCGCTGCTGCGCCCCACGGAGAGCCCCCACCACCGGCCCCCGCCCCCCAGCCGCACATAAATACCGTCCGGTGCGCCCGTAACTTTACTTACGCCTCCTCCTTGGTGCCGCCGCCGCCGCCGTCTGGTCCATCAAGCGTTCTGCTAGTTAGTTTCGAACCGGAGTTTTATCGCACGAGGACCTATAAAAATACACAGCGCGTAACCTATGGGGGCGCCTGAGCGTGTGTGAGCGAGAGCGAGCAGGGGAAACAGGGGGCGTGGAGAGAGGGAGGGCGGTTGTTTCCGATGAGCAAGCTAGTGGTACGGCAGCTGTCACACCACCGTAGCATAGTTAAATAAAAATAAGCGGCCTCACAAAGTATTTAATACCAACCGTGGAGAATATGAAGGTCACCCTTCATTTTTTTTAAACCCACAGCTCTAGGTATTTTGTTTTTGTTTCAACCTTGATAGAGAAAAAAACGGCTTGCTAGACAGGGGAGGCCACACAGTGACCTTGGTGGCCATGGGCATACAGCGAGCAGTGTCGCTTTCCCGACAGGTTTGGCCACTCCACGGCGGATTTTTGCATTGGTATTCTGAGAGTTACAAAACTCTTGAGTTTACTTCAAGTTTCTCAAATTTGTGAAAAAAAGACGCACCAAGCCAATTTCCTCTCGCCCTGCTGCCATGTCTGTCCAGCCGCTCACGGGTAACCTGAGGAGTCGTCGGCGTGAG